TTTGGGTTTATTTCGTATTGTCTAATGCCCACCTTTTCATTCACCTTTACCAACAGTGTGTAAAATCATGCAAAATAAAGTTTTGCATTAACAGGTCAATAGACGAGTCAAGCTCTTTTTTCTCTCCTGTCTAATGCTAGAGCTATTAATAGATTAGTTTTTCAGACCAAGCTTAATTGGTATTACTGTCCTGTCTTGGTTTCTACACAATTACCTGTCTAATGTTAGATCTATCCCGGTAATAATACTTCAGTTGTTCAGACCCAGAATAATTGGTAACTGTAAATAGTCAATTATACACCCAATGCAATTTTACAAATCACGTTTTATGTTTATAAATAGTGTGTAGTAATCACTGAAAGTTCACACTGTGAAATAACGACTTGGATCTGGTTTCATTAATTCATTCATTCATCAGTTGATTTATAATAATAGCACAAAAATATATAGTAGGGTCTGAGGGTAACTTAACACATAGCTTTTAAGGAGGGCAGTCATCATGTCGCGTCCTGTTCGATATGGGACTCATAGCGACGTATACAAGCGTGTAAAGTACATTGTTTATATACATGAAATTCGAACTCGCGCTGCGCGACGACCACCGCGTTTTAAGCTTAAAACTACCACATATCTAAATTGTGCAAAAACAACTTTCAGCTAAATGGCACATTTTTTTCCATTTCTGATTTTTAATTCCCGAATGTTAATTTAATTTTGGTCAGTTTTCATTGTAAAATAAAATTGTACATCAATGACCTATTTTGCATACTGTAAAATACTTTATTTTAGCTGGAATTAATTTTTTGCTGAAACGACATTTTTGCTGTTATATGAAGATACATTTATTTTTCATTAATATTTTGAGTTGAATGAAAAATTTAGAAAAAAACAAGTATTCACTGAGTCATCAATTTGGTGAAAATAAATTCAGTGAAAATAATGTACTTTTCAGTACAGTACTGTTGTGGGTCAGTGTTTAAAGCCATGCAAATCAAATGAGGTTATATAAAGGGCTATAACACTTCAAGAATTGGTAAGTTACTGCCAAGAATTCAGTAACCCGAGGCAAGGACTCGAGACAATCTTTTTGTCACAGTTGACTGGGATGTTTATTATAAGTATGGGGAATATTTAGTATTTAGTGCAGAGTTCACCGAGACTGACATGGTAGTACAAAAATGTATGCATTAAAGGTATTGAAATGCAAGAAAATTCTCATAAAATTGGTATATAGCAAGTGTATGGTACACGTTTTATTTAGTGCAGAGTTCACAGAGACTGACATGGCAGTATGCATTAAAGGTATTGAAATGCAAGAAAATTCTCATAAAATTGGTATATAGCAAGTGTATGGTACACGTTTTATTTAGTGCAGAGTTCACATAGACTGACATGGCAGTATGCATTAAAGGTATTGAAATGCAAGAAAATTCCCAGAAAATTGGGATAGCGTGGTAAACCAATCACAAGTGACCAACTCATATAGGTGAATGTGTCTTTAACCTCTTCACCAACACTTGGTCTAAATTTGTTTATATTATTTTGTCCTTCTGGAAATGAACCCTAATTTTGGAGTCAATTTCAGTTTTTATTCAATTTTGTTTTATTTGTGTGCCAATCTTTCGAAGAAAAGTGCAGATTATAAACAGGATTATTTTGTAAATTTGCGATGAAAAGAAGGAACTGATGGTGAAAAGGTTAAACTTCCATGTTCCTGCAAGCCATGCATTCTAATTTGATTGAATTATTACAATTCTCTTATCATTTCATAATTTTTTTTTTCTTAATCACCTGGCTGAAATTTCTTTTAAATATAATTAAGAGGTTATTTAATTTAAATGTCTTATTTTCTTTATAATTATTGTAATAATATGGTTTGGTGAACACGAATAATGCTACAACTGAAATGAAAACTAACAACTTGTATTATTGGCTGAAATAACACATGACAATGTTTTCTATACAACTTTATAACTGACAATTTAACAACTGACTTTATGACGTGTACAGACATGTTTACAATAAAGTTATACCGAGCAACAAAACACATCACAAATCAAACCAGATTTAGTAAATGATTTTAACGAGGACACATATTTAATCAGCGATCCAAGGTTTGTTCTTAGAAAGGAAATTGATGAGCACCATAATAGTTGATACAATGTCTATTATATGTATGTACATTGTAAATACATGTGTTCCGAGTGTGTAGTATATAAATTTGGTTGTTCAGCATTACTTCAAGGTTGAGTTTGTGTTGTTTTCTCGAATTTAGCTATTTTCATCGGCTTTTGACTGGTGTTCAATGTAGCATCTTGCGCAGAACCCACAGAAATACACGGTAAAGTGGTGCGCCTCTTAGCAACATGTGATGTAGCTACACCCCCAAGGATTGTCATTTATATCTTAGTATTAAAGACCAGATTATTCTGTGAGATATACAAGACAACACACAACCTGAATATCAATATCATATTTTCTCTCTAGAAGAAGCACATGCGTAAACAAGCAGAGGTGCGTCTATGATCAAAATAAGTCGTATTTTAATAATTTAGTCTTCAAGAAAAAACATAAAAGGCATAAGTGTTACGGACCCGGATTTTCTTCGTATTTACACTTATTCGGTTTATAAAATGCAAATTTAATTTTACCAAATTATAAATTTCATATCTGTATTATACTGTTTTTCAAGATCGATATGTCAATGTATAATTTTCTGTTGGATGGATGATGCACCAGTGAATTAACACAACTGGTAGTGTAGTGCCCAAGCAAATCTTTGTACATCAGTGACGCATCATATCATCTTAGAGGGCACACTGGTCTTTGATTCAAGATTATTTGCATACATAAGAAGATGAATGTCACTGGATTATATTTTCTTTTTGCAAAATTTTTGTAATTTTAGTAGTAGCCATTTATGTAAACCGGCTTCACAAAATGTATTAAACATAAAGCCCTAACCCTAAATTAGTTTATTTGTTTGAGCACTCAAATTGTTTCCAAAAACATAGGTGTCAAATTTAAGATTTTAATAGAATTTTTAAAAATAAATAAAAATAGAATTATTCCCTTTTTAGTTTATGTATTTATAAATGTAATGTACATTTATTATTGGAAGGGGGGCAATAAATATCAAGTATATTATAGGTAATTCAAATGTAATTATAAAATATCTAAAAGCATATAGATGCATGTGTGATTATTGTTTTTTTATGAAACTGTTTACAGAAGATAACACGTTTTGATCAACAGAAAAGTTTACACTGGTTGTTTTCTAGTGATTATATAGAACTAACATTAGAATAGATTGTACTAAAAATGACAGAGCTCAGGGAACATCACTTCCATTAAAAATGCCAACAACCGTAATTTTTAAAGGGAATTCACACCCATCTGTGAGTGTATACAAGGCATCAGCTGTATCCAGTATACTACAATGAACAAGACACGCCATGATTTGAGTAGCACCAACAATACCTGTCATACATAGCATTAATAGTATCCATTCATACAGTGGTGTTCCTGTCATTCACGGAAGATTTCTAAATTTAGTTAAAACTTTATCAATAAATTAAAAATTGTAATATACATTTGTAAAAATATTTAGGTAGTAAAAGCTGTCTATGCATGTGAAAATTCACGGTTATCACACAGACGTTTACCTGGGAAGCCCACGATGATTCACGCATGAACAAGATGACATCATCGTTTGTACTCAAAACACGTTACTGCCAGTTTTCAATATTTTCGCATAATCGGCCATCGATGATGGCATCAAATACGGTGCGAACACGTTCCAGTGATGTTATATCGCCAAAGAAATGCACATGACAGATCGATGCTTTCGTCGATGTTATTAAAACAGCAAGGAAAAAACTCAAACGAGACACTCCCATTTTTTTCTTTGCAAGGATGTTGATTTCCTCTCGTTTATAAAACGTGTTACTAAAACGGGACCGAACTGGTCGTTACGGCGTTCAATAGTGGAAAGATACGAGTTGAATATCTGACATAATTTGAGCAATGTATCGATAAACTGTCCGTTATTTCACGACAAAGGTCAAACGGCCGTGGGTCAAACAAGACAGAATACCGGTCTCGCATCTTGGTTCTAATTCAACGTTCGATGACCATGTTTGTGTCACTTCATGACTTCGCGGTGACAAAACTTATTCAAAATTAAATAAATGTGTCATTAAAACGACAAAATAGCTACGGTTAAAAGGCTGACTGTGTGATTGAAAGGGCGTGGGTTTCCAGTGTCAAGTGCGGCGAAGGCTGTAACAACAAAACCAGAACCGTGCAAAACACTGGAATTTCAAACACCGGTAAAAGAGACCACAGCGTTCTAACCGACTGCCGAAAAAATAAACACCATTCGATATCCAAATTAAACCATAGTTTTAAACTACACCGTTATATGACGATAAAGTGAATTGAAAATGGATAGAAATTAGAAGAAAATCCTACTTACAGTCGTGATCTCCGTCATGTAGGAAGAAATACTTGGTTCAAATCTCACTTCCTGCCAGGCATAATGACCATTATGAACTTTGACACTCACGAAACAGCCCGAGTATGCCCGAATATGGACGAACAATTAATTACGTCATTATGTGCGCGCCCTCATACGGTGACCGAATGGTGCGGGTCAAAGTAATGCCTTCGTGATAAATCCAGCTACGTCAAAGTTTTAGGTGAGTTTTCTTTAATTTTACTTGTTTTGTTGTATTTTCTTTTCTCAGTCTTCGGAATTCGAGTTAAAATTGAGTGATGTAGTCAAAAACCCTGATCGTCTAACAATAATTCGTTTTGTATGACCGTTGTTTTTATTTGCTCGCCGACCGGCGTGTGGTTTCCAGTTTATTCTGGTTTACACACGGCGTAGTTTTGTGTTGTTTTCATGTGCACGGTTTAGTTGTGAATTAAATTTGTCTCCCCATCCCCAATCCTAACTCTAATCCTATCACTACCCCCCAGCTCTCCCCAATTGGTGTTCCTGATAACTCAAATGTCACACTGCAATT